TATAAATTGACCTCTGATTACTGCTTTAGGTGTTTCCCATAGTTTTTGGTAAGTGGTGTTTTTATTGTCATTTGTTCAAGAAAATTTTAATTTCATTTTTTTTCTTCTAGTACCCAGTCATGTTCAAGCAAGGTGATGTTCAGCTTCTAAATGTGCTGTTTTTTCTCCTTCTTATTATTAATTTGTATTCTTACAGCATTATGGTCTGAAAAGATGCTTTGTATTATTTCTACGTTTTTAAAATTATTGATGCTTGCCTTGTGACCTAGAATGTGATCTATTCTGGAGAATGTTCTATGCACATTGGAGAAGAGGAAAACTGGGCTTTTTTGGGGTGCATTAGCCCATAAATATCTATGAGGTCAAGTTGGTATATTGTGTGGTTTAATTCTTCAGTATCTCTGTTGAGTTTTTTTCTGGTAGTTCTATCTTTTCTTGAGAGGAATGTATTGAAGTCTCAAAGTACAATAATAGTGTCTATTTCTTTTTTCAGTTTTGTTAATGCTTGCTTTAGATATTTTGCAGTTATGTCCTCTTGTTCTATTGACCCTTTCAGCATTATGTAATGACCTTCCTTGTCCTTTGTGATGGTTTTTACATTGACATCTACTTCATCAGAGAATAATACTGCTACTGTTGCTTTTTTCTGGTTGCCATTTGCTTGGTATGTTTTTCTTCATCCTTTTACTTTTAGTCTTTCTTTATCTTCATTTTCAGGTGTGTCTCTTGTAGCCAACATATTGATGGATTTCGTTTTTTTATCCAATCTGCTATTCTTTTTCTCTTCAGCGGTGCATTTAAATCATTCACATGCAGTGTGACTATTGAGTGGCTAGGTTTTATTGCTGTCATTCTGTTGAGTTCTTTTTGGTGTTGATGCTAGTTACTTTGGACCATGTAGCTTTCTGTGGTATGTCTGTAAAAAGGACATTCTTGAGTCTGTCCTGCAATGCTGGTCTTGTTTTTACAAAATCTCTGAGGTTCTGCTTTTCTGGAAATAGCTTGATCTCGCCTTCATATTTGATGGATCATTTTGCTGCGTACAGTATTCTTGGTTGACAGTTGTGTTCTTTAAGGGTTTGATATATGTCCTTCCACTCTCTTCTTGCTTGCCTGGTTTCTGATGAATAACCAGCACTTAATACTATCTGTTCTCCCTTATAGGTTACTATTTTTTTCTCCCTTGCTGCTTTCAGGATCCTCTCGTTATCTTTGGTTCTGGCAAATTTAACTATGATATGCCTTGATGTTTTTCTTTTGGGGTCTATTTTATATGGTGTTCACTTACCTTCTTAAATATATATTCTCTCATTCTTCATTATGCCTGGGAAGTTTTTCTAGTAATTCTTCCACAACTTTTTAAGTGTCTTACTTGCTTCTTCCTTTTCTGGGATTCCAGTGATGCGCATGTTATTTCTCTTGATGGTGTCCTACATTATTCTTAGCTTTTCTTCTTTTCCCTCTTTTTTGAGTCTACTTTTTGCTCTAACAGATCAGTGGTGATCATTCTATCTTCAATTTCACTGGCTGTGTGTTCCATCACTTCAACTCTGCTCATGTGTCCTTCAGTCATGTTGACAGCCTCTCAACATTAGACTTTATATTTTGGATAGTGGTTTCTTGTTTTTTCTAGTGCTGCTAATGCCTCATTTATTTTCTTTGCATTCTTCGACATTGTTTTTTTCTGAGACCTTTCTGTTTTTTGCTTGTAGTATCCTCTAATTTTTCAAGTTTGTCTTTTATCCATTGAGTATATTCAATCATTCTTCTTTTAGATTCTGTGTCAGAAAGTTCCATCAGACTTTCTAGCTTCAGGTAATCCACAGACACCCTTTGGGGGTGACATCCTGCTTCACTCTTGTGTACTATGTGGGATAACTTACTTTTTTCGAAACATTGATATGTTCTTGATCTGATGACCATGCTCTAGGGATCAGTTGGGCAGCTATGCCACTTGTGTGTTTCTCTGAACTTCTGTCTTCAGGGAAATGTCAGTTCAGAACCAGACTTTCTCCTGCCAGATTAGTCCGACAGCAGCTCGGCTCTGAGCAATGGCTGGATCCGCAGTGTGGTTTTCTGGTCCTGTAACTCCAAAAGAAACTGCTGCAACAGAAGTTTGATTCAAAAAACTACTGTGCAGAACTCATTGCGTTGGTTGGTCTCTGTGTCGTGTGAAGGACTCTCTAGTGGCCCTTGGGCACCACTGGGTTCAGAAGGCTATGGCGGAAGTGTGTGATTGTGGAGCCGTGGGCGTGGGGGGAATAAGGGGAGGAATCATGGTGTTGGGGGGGGTGGCGTGTGGGAGCACAGGGCTGGGGTGGGGGGCATGAGGCTGGGACACTCAGGTCACCCATTTTTAATAATATTGTATGAGTGCCTTGTTTTTCAATGCAGCATAGTATTCAATTGTGTGAATCTACCACAGCTTCTCTATCCATTCTTTTGTTGATGGACACTTAGGTTGTTCCCAACTCCTTGCTATTGTAAACAAAGCCATGATCAACATGGGTGTGCATATACCTGCTTGGATGTCAGTTATGAACTCTTTGGGGCATATTCCCAGTAGTGGAATTGCTGGGTCGAATGGTATCTCTATTTGCAACTTTTTGAGAAAGCGCCATGCAGCCTTCCACAGTGGTTGCACCATTTTACACTCCCACCAACAGTGAATAAGGGTTCCACTTTCTCCCCAACCTTGCCAGCATTTGTTGCTTGCTATTCTGTTAAATTTTGCGATTCTGAGTGGGGTGAGATGATATCTCATAGTTCTTTTGATTTGTATCTCTCTTAGAGCTAGGGATTTTGCACATTTCCTCATGTGCTTGTTAGTCATCTGAATGTCTTCTTTGATGAAGTGTCTGTTCATCCACTGTGCCCATTTTTCTACTGTATTATTTACCTTTACTTTGTTGTGGTTCCAGCTCCGTGTTCTATCACCGAGTCCATGTTTTCCAACTACTGAACCTTCTCTGTTCCAACTTTTGCATTCCAGTCATCCATTATTATCAATGAATCTTTATTGTATATTAGATCGATCTCTGACTGTGAAAGTTGGTAGAAATCTTCTATTTCCTCTTCTGTGGCTCTGGTTGTTGGTGCATATATCTGAATGATATATGAATGGTATTCACTGGACTTCCTTGTATGCGTAGCTTATAGAAACCTTAATTTTCATTCATTCATTTTTGCTTCTTTTCCTGCCTATCCCCACCCCAGTTTGCTTTTCACTTAAAAAAAATCCATTCACTGTTGCACAATTCCCTCCCTTCCTCCCACATTAGACTAGCTTGCTATGTGCCTCTTATACTGAACTATTTTCATGCAAGTAATGCTTTCTTATATATTCCTTTTAAACAAATTTTTCCCTCATCGTTTCCAATGCAGTAGTCATTATTTATCCCTACTTTACAAGATCTCTCTCCAACTCCCAATGCCAATCTTGTTTTCAAACCATGGCATTAAACAGTATTTGTCCTTTTGTGACTGAGATATTTCACTCAACCTAAGGTCATCCAGGGTCACTCATTTTGTATAATATTTTATGAGTTCCTTGCTTTTCAGTGCTGCATAGTTTCCAATTGTGTAAATAGACCATAGCTTCTCTATCCATTCATTTGTTGATGAGTACTTGGGTTGCTCCCAACTCTTTGCTATTATAATCAATGCAACAATCAACATTAGTGTGCATAATTTGTTTGGGTGGAAGTTCTCGTCTTTTTAGGGTATATTCCCAGGATGGAATTGATTGGTAAAATCACGTTTCTATTTCCAACTTTTTGAGAAAGCACGGTTGCAAAATTTCACATTCCCACCAGTAGTGAATAAGGGCTCCAAATTCTCGACAACCTCACCAACATTTACTTTTTGCTGCTCTGTTGAAGTTTGCTATTTTTATTGGGATAAGATGATATCTCATAGTTGTTTTGATTTGCAACTGTCTTAGAAGTAGAGATTCTGCAATGAATGAGTGGAAATCCAAAATCTCTGTAAATGTTCATTAAAATTAATGAAATGCAATAAAAATTTTAAAAAAAAGGAAAAAGAATTTCCTGTTGGGAGCAATTAAAAGTAAATACAACATCAAATTGAACTTTTCATTGCTATACAGTCTCAAAAATAAAAAAAAGAAGTAAGGATTTTGAACATTTCTTCATGTATTTGTTCACTATCTGAATGCATTCTTTGGTGAAGTATCTTTTCATGTCCTATGCCACTTTTGCAATTGGGTTGTTTACATTTATCTTGTCGAGATGATAGAGTATTCTATAAATGCTGCATAAAAAGTCCGTCCTCAGACGTATCATTACCAAATGTTTTTTTCCCCAGTCTGTGGCTTTCCTTTTTATTTTTAAGGAGAAGTGTTTTGATGTGCATAGGGATTTGAGTCTTAGAAGGTCCCATTCCTCTATATTATTCTCTCCAGGTCGTAGGGGTTTTTGTTTTTTGTTTGTTTTTCTTTGTTTGTTTGTTTTTGTTTTTGTGTTTTTTTTTAAGGAGAAGGACGGCCTTTATTGCTTGTCTGAACAGATTCCCAGAGCAGGCAGGTCAAGAGGGTTGGGGGCTTTTCTGGGACAATAAAGGTGCCCTCAGCGGATGTGAGCCATGTCGCTAAGGAAGGGTGTCTTCATGCAGCCAGTGCAGAGCTGGTCAATCCAGAGTAGGGCTTCTTGCTGAAGCGGCGTGTGGCATGGGTAGAAGGTGAAGACCACAAGGTAGTGGAGCAGGCAGCTGAGCGAGGCCATGTGGGGTTGTGGAAGGTGCGGAAGATGCTTCCAAACTGAGGGTTGAACAGCGCCTTGGCGATGCACCTCAGCTCTTGCCCAATCCTTCATCCAGGCTGCCAGCAACGTCTTGGTCTCTGCATCTTCGTAGGTCTGCATGCGCTTGAGCAGCCCGCGTGAACACCCCCTGCCAAGTCATTGAGTGCTCAGGAAGTGTTCCCCCACGCAGAATAGCAGTGCCATCTCCAGCAGGGAGCAAATGTCCATCAACTGTTTGATCTAGGGACCCTTGCCATAGAAGCCACTCATGTGATACAGGGGGATGTGCTGAGTGTCCCCATACAGGTCGATCACTTCCTCATCTAGCACAGGCTGGAGGCCCCTGGAGGCCATTCCCAGCTGCAAGTAATGGTACGCATCAATCTTCATCAGGAGGCTTTTCTGGATATCTTAGTGGAGACCTCTGATGGTTGTAGGGTTGTTACGATGTTTGGAAGACAGTTCATGGGATTAGGGCTTCTAGGTTTCTTACAAGTTTTTCTCTTATGAAGTTAGTAGACCTTGGTTTTACTCCTAAGTCTTTGTTCCTTTGAGTGAGTTTCTGTGTACTGGGTGAAATGTGGGTCTTGCTTTAGTTTTCTGCAGATAGTTTTCAAATTTTGCCACTGCCATTTGTTAAAGAGGTTTTCATTTCCCCACTTAACTGATTACATTTCATTCTCAAAAATCAATTCACCGTAAGTAGATTAGTTGATTTCTGGATTCTCAATTATGTTTCATTGATCTATGTGTCATCACTGTAACAGTACCACACTGTCTTGACTACCACGGCTGTATAGTAGGATTTGAAATCGGGGGAATGAGATATCTCCTAATGGTTTCACTTTTTTAGGAGTTCTTTGAGTTCTTTAGTAATTTGGGGTCTCTTTACATTCCAGGTGAAATTGGAAATTGCCTCTTCCATGTGGTTGAAAAATGAAATTGGTGTTTGTCTTGAGATTGCATTACACTTGTAGAATGCCTTTGGTAGAATTGTCATTTTCAAAATATTGAGTCTTCCTATCCATGAGCATGGTATATTCTTCCATTTCTCCATTAGAACAATCCAATTGATTTTTTAAATCTTTTTTTTTATTAATTTTAATGAAAATTTACAGAGACTTTGGATTTCCAGTCATCCATTGTTGCGCTTTTCTCCCTGCCCACCTCTCCTGCCCCAGTACACCCTTCTCTTTGAAAAATAAAAGAAAATTCCCTCATTGTTTTACAATCCCTCACCCCAGGTCCATTCCACTATGAAGCCTTCGTTCTGAACTCCTGTCATGATAAAAATACCTAATCACATATCCCTTTTAAACAGTTTTCTCCCTTATCTGTTTCAATACAGTATACATAGTTTATGCAGTCTTTCTCAGTCTCACCCAACCTGATGTCAGTCCTGTCCTACAACAATGGCAATATGCAGTATTTGTCCTTTAGTGACTAAGACATTTCTCTCAGCATAATGTCCTCCAAGGTCACCCATTTTGAATAATATTGTATGAGTTCCTTCTTTTTCAATGAAGCATACTATTCCATTGTGTGAATATACCACAGCTTCTCTATCCATTCGTTTGTTGATGGGCACTTAGGTTGTTTCCAACTCCTTGCTCTTGTGAACAAAGCTGCAATAAACAAGGGTGTGCATATATCTGCTTGGATGTCAGTTATGGTCTCTTTGGGGTACATTCCCACTACTGGAATTGCTGGGTCAAATGGTATGTCTCTTTGAATCTTTTTGAGAAAGTACCACACCACCTTCCACAGTGCTTGCACTCTTTTACACTCTCACATATAGTGAATAAGTGTTCCAGTTTCTCCGCAACTTTGCCAGCATTTGATGTTTGCTGCTCTTTTAAATTTTGCTTGGGTGAGGTAATATCTCATAGATGTTTTGCTTTTCATCTCTCTTAGAGCTAGGAATTTTGAACATATCTTCATGTATTTGTTTACCATCTTAATGTTTTCTTTGTTGAATTGTCTGTTCATATCCTGTGCCCATTTTTCAATTGGGTTATTTACTTTTACCTTTTTGTGGTGCTCAAGTGTTTCAGAAATTCTTGTTAAAGATCCCTTATCTGACATGACATTAACAAATATTTTTTCCCCAATCTGTGACTTTCCTTTTGACTCTGCTAGAGAAGCTTTTTAAATGTGCATAGCTTGCCTCCAGAAACCCTATGAACTTGGAGAGAGGAAGAAACCACCCAAGCTTCAAGGACTCTCCTTCATAGGGTCACTATGAATCGCCTGCGACTTGATGACACTTAACAACAACAACAACATCAATCACCCAGGAGATGATTGTCCATCTTTTTCCGAAAGAGCTTCTGTCCAGCCATCATATAGAGTCTGTTTTTGCTTTAGCAACACAACTCCCTCTGAGCAAAGGCACTGAAGTAAGAATGCTGTTGTTACGTACAGCCCAGTTAGAAGATTGCTAGCTATGCTCCAGCAGATATTCAGAGGCTGTAACTAGCATGGAAGTAGATTGTCCATCTTTCTTCAATGGAACAGCAGGTGGAAGATTTGAATCTCAAGCCTTCAGTTTTATCATGCAGCTCCTTACCAAAAGCCCACAAAAGCTCATATTTAATAGCTTCATAATAATTTGGAAGCTCACATGTTAATGGCGGTAAAACATGACATTTATCATAAAAAGGATGAATTACAGATACTGTCTTTGTGATGGTCATGTCTTAGATTTTACATGTTGTTGTTGTTATGTGCCGTCGAGTTGTTTGCGACTCATAGCGACCCTATGTACAACAGCCCTAAACCCTGCTCTGTCCTGTGCCAATCTCATTGCCTCTGACACACCCATCCCGATTACCCCAGTCACTGAATCAATCCATCTCATAGAGGGTCTTCCCCTCCTGTGCTGTCCCTCCACTCTGTCCCGCATGATGTCCCTCTCTAAAGACCTGTCTCTCCTTACAACATGTCCAAAGTATGTCAGGTGAAGCCTCGGAATCCTTGCCTCCAAGGAGCAGCCTGGTTTAACACTCTCTAGGATGAATCTGTTTGTTTTCTTGGCAGTCCGTGGTACATTCAATACTCTTCTCCAGCACCACAGCTCAAAGGCGTCAATTCTCCTTCTATACTCCCTAGACATTGTCCTACTCTCTGATGCATCACAAGTGATTGCAAAAACCATGGCCTGTATCAGGCACACCTTAGTCTTCAGAGAGAAACCGTTGCTCTTGAGTACTTTAGAGAGGTCCCTAACCGCAGACTTTCCCATCGCAATACGTTTTTTTGGTTTCCTGGCTACTGGTGCCAAGAGTGTTGACCGTGCAGCCAAGCAAACTGAAGCTGTGAACAATCTCAATCTCTTCACCATCCATCCTGATGCTACCGATTGGTCCAGTTGTGAGAATTTTTGTCTTCTTGACATTGAGCCTCAGTCCATATTGAAGGTTGCAGTCCTTGACCCTCTGCAGTAAGTGCATGAGGTCCTCCTCAGTTTTAGCGAGCAGGGTTGTGTCATCTGCATAACGCAGATTGTTGATAGATCGTCCACCAATCCTAATGCCACGCTTCTCATCATAGAGCCCAGCCTCTCGGATAATCTGCTCTGCATACAGGTTGAAAAGGCATGGAGACAGGACTTTCACTATGAGATGTGCACCACTCAAAGACAATTAACAGGAATAACATTGTGATTGAACGAAAGCTTGCAGAAAACTTGGATTTCCATTCATTTACTGTTGCACAATTTCCCCCTTAACAACTCCCATTCACTTTCCTCTTTAAATAATTTATTCATTTTTGCACCATTTCCTCCCTCCCATGCTTACTCCAGGCTATTTTGCTATGTGCAAATTATTCTGGACTGTTTTCATAATACACATAATGCTTAATCATATATTCCTTTTAAAAAATTATTTCCCTCATCTGTTCCAATGCAGTGCTCATTATTTACCCCTTCTTTTCTTACCAGTCTCCAAGGTCAGCCTTGTTTTATAACAGTGGCATTAGGCAGTATTTGTCCTTTTTGACTGAGATATTTCACTCAGCAAAATTTCCTCCTGGGTCACTAATTTTGTATAATACTTTATTATAAGAACCTTATTTTTTGGTGCTGCATAGTATTCCACTGTATGGATATACCACAGCTTCTCTATTCATTCACTTGTGCATGAGCATTTGGGTTGCTTCTATCTCTTTGCTTTTATGAACAATGCAGCAATAAACATAGATGTGCGTATATCTGTTTGGGTGGCAGTTCTCATTCCTTTAGGGTATATTGCCAGTAGTTCAATTACTGGGTCAAATGATATTTATATTTCCAACATTTTGAGACGCCACTATACTACCCTGCATAGTGGTTGGTTGCACCAGTTTGCACTCCCACCAACAGTGAATAAAGGTTCCAATTCTTCCACAGCCTCACCAGCGTTTCTTGTTTGCTGCTGTGTTGAACTTTGCTACTGTTACTGCAGTGAGATGATATTTCACAGTTGTTTTATTTGCATCTCTCTTAGAGCTAGAAATTTTGAACATTTCTTCATGTGTTCATTTGCCAGCTGAATGTCTTCTTTGGTTATGTGTCTGTTCATACACTGTGCCCATTTGGCAGTTGGATTGTTTACCTTTATATAGTTAAGGTGCTGGAATATTCTACAAATATTAAATATTAGTTCCTTATGAGACCTGTCATTATCAAATACTTTTTCCCAGGCTGTGGTGTTCTTTTTACCCTGTTGGAGAAGTTTGTTGCTGCACATAGATATTTGACTCTTAGAAGGTTTCGTTCATCTACATTATTCTCTCCTAGTAGAATGTCTATCTGTGCTTCATTGACTATGCAAAGGCTTTTGACTGCGTGGATCATATAAAGCTATGGCTGACTCTGAGAAGAATGGGAATCCCAGAACATTTGATTGTGCTAACGCGAAACCTATACTTGGAACAAGAGACAGTCATCGGAACAGATCAAAGAGACACTACATGGTTCAAAATCAAGAAGGGGGTCCAACAGGGATGTATTTTGTCTCCATACCTTTTCAGTCTGTATGCAGAACATATCATCCGAGACGCCGGGTTGAACGAGGAGGAGGGTGGCATAAGGATTGGTGGAAGAATCATCAACAACCTGTGTTATGCGGATAACACAACTCTGCTTGCTGAAACTGAGGAGGACCTGAAGCGCTTGCTGCAGAAGGTCAAATACTGCAGTCTTCAATATGGATCGAAGCTCAACATCAAGAAAACAAAGCTTCTCATCACTGGGCCAATTTTTTTTTATTTTTTAAATTTTATTTCATTATTTTTTGTGTGTATCGTCAAATCAGATCTGACTGGTACAGGAGGAGATTGCTCCTCCTTCTCCAGCAGAGCATCTGGTGGATTTGAAC